GGGTGTTTCCGAATTGTCTGGACATATTTTGTGAACTTGTTCCCTGGGCTAAGACAAACATAAAACACCGTATAAGTATGGGTCTAAAGTGCCTAGAGATTTTTCTGTCTGTCGGTCTGTTTGTAATTTTTATAAATTATTTTATATCTTGGGCATTTTTCAGTATAGAGATTTGAAATTTGGTATGAATGTGTAGTTCTAAAAGTAAAAAGGACTGTGCAAATTTCGTTCCAATATCTCAAGCCTATTAAAGTAGTCCTTTTAAGGTAGTCCTATTAAATTGCGTAACCGAATGTAGAAAAAACCTTATAACTCGGTTATTTTTCATCCGATTTTTACAAACAAGGCCTCATTTGATTTGTATTAAAATTCTCTATCTTTTCGCTAAGGTAAAAGATTTTCTTAATATTTACGGTTTTCATGAAATTTGGCATTACAGATTTTAAATGGCCGCCATATTGAAACAGCTTGAGATATTAGAACGAAATTTTCACAGTCCTTTTTACTTTTAGAACTACACATTCATACCAAATTTCAAATCTCTATCTTGAACGAAATTTGCACAGTCCTTTTTACTTTTAGAACTACACATTCATACCAAATTTCAAATCTCTATACTGAAAAATGCCCAAGATATAAAATAATTTATAAAAATTACAAACAGACCGACAGGCAGAAATCTAGGCACTTTAGACCCATACTTATACGGTGTTTTATGTTTGTCTTAGCCCAGGGAACAAGTCCACAAAATATGTCCAGACAATTCGGAAACACTCTGTATTTGATGGCAGTGGGTTCATACATCTCTAACAATATACCTTAATATTGCAATAAAATCAATTCCTTTATAATATTATTGATGCTTCATGAAATTATGTTTTACCTTTAATTCTTTAATTTTACTCAAGCCCCTTTACCTCTGGCTTACTATATAATATGTATATACTGGCAACAGAGCCCGTTGTGGTTAAATAAAACGGTCTCTAGAAACATAATGGTTATGAAATCCATACACCACTTTACTCACATATATTAATGGTACAGATTAAGCATATGAATTAAGAAACACACGTTAACCACAAATGCAAATCATGATCAATAACATGTAAACAAAGAAAATCAATTAACTAGCAAACCGACAATCGAAACGGCACACGGAAGATTTCTCAGGTGCCGTTTGACGTCACTAACTGCTGACGTCACTTTGAGGGAACACCAATACCGCAACGATACGGTTTTGAAGCCATCAGCTTCGGTGGTGCATTGGATAGCGTTGCGGGCTGATAATCCGAATGTCCCGGGTTCGAATCCCGCCGGCGGCGCTAACATTTTATCAACATTTTTTTCATATCAGCAAGTTTGGTTGGTTTGGTTAAGTTATGACAGTTTAATTTTATAATTAAAAAATTGTAAAATTGAATTTAAGGCAATTATAATTTTATTTTATGAACAAAACTATTTTTTAGATTAGTAAACCTTTATTCAATTTTTCCATTATCAGCACGTTTGGTTAGGTTATGACAGTTTAATTTAATAATAGAAAATTATAAAATTGTCTGTTTCTTCAGACGCAGCAGTTAGTGACGTCAGCAGTTAGTGACGTCAAACGGCACCTGAGAAATCTTCCGTGTGCCCCACCGTACAACAATCAGCTGTAATAGTAGTTTACGAAACGATAGCGTAAAGGTTAACGACACTATTAGAAAATTGAGGAACGAGCCATTAAAAACTTCTAAGAGTGTCGTCAAGACTATTACTCCGAGTTGCGTACCCTACTAACTTTACCTACAACAGTGTTTTAATTACTAACAATCACTACTCATAACTTCCAAGATAGGCTATGTTCCCTTTATAACCTCTCGTTGCCACGGACAGTGATGCAACAAATCATTGTACCCAACGATCACATTGTACCAGACACTAATTAATTGCACCACTCAACAATTTAATTGGCCTGAACAGCTGATTAGTTGAAGTTCGAAGCATTACATTCTACTTCTTTTCTCTCAATCCTTGAACCTCATTGGTCCGCTATCCGTGTTGTTAAGTAACAAAAATAATGCTGTTAAGCATGTAAACAATTATGTAAAGTGAACCTTTTCAATTCTAAGAACTGAACTGAAACGGCTAGTTTAAAAAAGGTCGTAAGTAAAATTTTTAACACATGTTTCATATGATTAGATTATGCATACCGGCAAACCCATTACTGCTTTAAATCTTTGAAAAACCCGGACTTTCATAATGATTTGCAGTTCTAAACGAATTAGGCTTTCCATCGACCCATTAATTAATGAAATCGATCCAATGGAACTGTAGATTTAGTTGTAAAAAGTTTAACAAAACTATCTTAAACACAGTATTTTCTCATTACTATAAATTCAGATGTTGCTTAGCTTTTTTACAAATAACTTTAAAATTGTGAGGGAATTGACCAAAGGAAGGTGATATTCTGAAAAATTATAAAATGTCCTACAAAATATGCATTTCTTGAAAATTACTCAAAAAAGGCAGCAAAATGTTGCATCCAAATAAAAAATGTGAAACCCCGTTTTCAATATATTTCTTATGTAAATCATGTTTTTTTTTTTTATTTCTTTACCATAAATCATAACAAAAATAAACTTTCATAATTATTTGCAAAACTGCACTAACTAAGCTTTCAAACGACCCATTAATTAATAAAATCGGTCCAGTCGAACTCAAGATTTAGTAGGACAAATCTTTGAAAGATGATTTATACATATAAGTAGATGGATGGATTACTACATGTATGTATATATAATAGCATTTTATAATAGTTGTATGTATAGTAATCACTTGGGTAGATGTAGTAGATTATGTAATGTAATCACTATACTGTATATATATTGTAAACTTTGGGGGTTTTAACTGCTTACGTAAAATGTGATAAACTGAAAAATGACTACTAAGCTCAGTATACTCGCTTGGCATATGTGAGAATACTCAGGAACTGATTGAACTGACACCATTATATTATGAGTTACTTAATTTTATTTCACTATTTAGCCTAATATATATATATAACCCTTTGAAACACAATATATATATATATATACATATATATATATTTATATATATATTTATATATATATATGTGTCCGTTAGCGCGATAACTCGAGCAAAAATGATCCGATTTTGATGAAATTTGGTACAAACGTGTAAACCTACGTTTATTCGAACGAGTTCGCGAACCAGCATGATCGGACCATGGGAACAGGGGTTTATCGGGGCTTTTATGGGGTAAAAATGGGTTTTTCCTATTTTTGACCCTAAAAACATAAAATTTTGAAATTTCTTTCCAAACTATTTTGTAGAGCTTAAAAAACAAATAATTTAGTATATTGAAGCGTTATAATGCGCCTAATGGTTACGGAGAAAATTCCCAAAAATTGTTAATTAAAAATTCCCATGTTATTCTTATGGAGAATAAGTAAACTGTTGTAGTGTGCTTGTTTATTAACATATTTTGCCCAAATTTGGAAAATGTTTTTATTTCTTACTAACTATTAACATTTTACATAAAAAAAACACTTTTACCCTCCCTGTTGCAGCAAACCTAAGTATGTGTTAAACTGATTCTATTTAAATAGGGAATAAATGTGATATTTTTAAGGAGACATTTTAGTCTAAATCCAATCAGGCAAATAGAAATTTGCTTAGTCTGCAAGTTTGCTGTGGCGGGGGTATTTCCTTCTACTTCAATATTATCATATAATTCTTTTCTATATAATTTATGACATTCCTTACAACAATATTATAAACCATCTTTAGTGGATATATCATTAGAAAATTCGGATTTATTTTTATATAATTTACATCTTGAGCATTTCTTTTCCATTTAATAAGGGGGAATTCTTTAATAAAATATCGTTTAAACAAAAAATATATTAAATTATTTACAAACTCCTTCATTTTGTAGTCAATTTTATAGGAATTAAGGTATAAAGATTCCATAAATATTTTAAGTTTTTTCTTGAAAATTATAAAAATGTTCAAAATTAATCGAAAAGAAACAAAATTTTAACATATTAGTCTTGAAAACAACAAGTTTTATTCAACTATTGAAGTCTTTCTTTTTTGGTCTAGAAGTAATATGATACTATTTAAAAAAAATATTATATAAATTAGAAAAAAGTTATAAAATTTAAATAATTTTACTTTTTTTAAAAACATTTTGTTTTGTAGTCAATTTTATGGAAAATATAAACATATTCATGAAAATTTCATCAAAGTTATATACTTTTTCTAGAAAAATATAAAAATGTTAGAAATTAACCTAAAAGAGGCAAAAATTTAACATAGTATTGAAAAACAACAAATTTCATTAAATTATTTAATTCACCCTTTTTTGGTTTAGGATTGGCATATTACTATCTACTTATATATACAAACATCGTCTTTTATACTTATAGATTTCAACAACTCATCTCAAAACAAAAGGTAAATAATAACAATAAATAAACAGTTCATCTGGTCTTTTAAACATAAAACATATGGTTAATTAATAACACCACACCCATGATAAAGGTTGTTGGAAGCTAATGGGAGGAAGTATGTGTCAGATTGCTGATACCATTTATTGCATTTATGACAACAGCTAATGTGAACCAAGCATAAACAAAAAGGTGTGATACACAATGAGAACTTTACTTTTTTCTTTTGTTAGGTGCAGTGGTTGACCTAACATTATAGCCGTGGTAGATGTGCTATACTATAGTTAACCGTAAATTAAAAGAACCATATTTTCTTCAACCGTGTCCTCTCCCATTGCAAACGCAAAGCACTAGTATAAATACAATAAGAATTTTATACTTAAACGCCAACCCCGTACGAAGGACGGGTACTCTGCTAGTATATCATAATGATTAAAATTATTAAGCTAATTTTGGTTGTCAATTAAAGATCAAAATTTTTGTTACTAAAATAATGTAATAGTTGTTATAAGTGAACCGATTTACAAATTGATTTTGCTTCCTCAGGTGCTTCCACTCGCCAATCAAGCCAAACCATGGAAAAGAAGTACCGGTAGTCTGGACAAGCTCATGAAGAAGATTCTGTCCCAAGAACAACCATATACTGAAGATGAACTTCGGAGCGAAATTTCTTCATGGATCATGGATTACTTGGATTTTTACATAAAAGCACTTACTGAGATGGATTCGGTAAAGGATATACAAAATGACATGATACGGCTTTATGATCTCATGGTTTACAACTGGATGTTCTATCTCAAACCTGAGATTACAGATGACGTTAGAGATTTTCTTCCAAAAAGTTTTGAAAATCTGCAAACTGCACAGGATGTTGTCAATAGATTGAAAACAGACATTAAACATTATTCAGAAGAAACAATTACCAAAGCATTGGTACGATACCAGTATTCATCCATCGGCCTAAGTGGTCACGAATTACTTAAACAAGAACTAACAAATGAGCTAACCTCAACTTGGGAAAAACTCAAGGAAAATTGGAATAACCGACGGAGGACTGGAACACCAGAAGAGAAACTAAAGTACAGTATGTTGATGCGAAAAGTTAACAAAGAAAACGATCCGGTGATGGTCGTGCATGAATCAGACATCGTCATGTGTGCTCAGACAATCTTCCTTCTTTTTCACCAAGAAGTGACGGACCCTAACTATGAATGGGCACCGATGGAAGTTGAGATTGATGGGATAAAAATCAAACCTTATAGTAAGTTGAAAAAAGAAACGTTGTTTTCGGGAACTTGGGAATCGTTTGCTAAAATCAAGATTACAGACAAAAAGATAAACGAACGTCTAATGGCGTACTATACCGGCATAAAAAAAGAGCTAGAAAAAGAAGTGATAAAAAAAGAGCTAAAAAAAGAAGTGATAAAAAAATAAGAGTGACCCAGTTGGAGCTTTTCAACATTTATTTCGCCAAAGAGGTTAAAAAGTCTATTTATATTTAGATGTGTGCAATTTATTATTCACAATATTTGTTAACTGTTTGAATAATAAAGCTAGTTACACGTGTATTCGCAAATTCTTTCCCAAATACCTATTTAAGACTGTCTATATATATGGGGTTAATACAAAGTGTGGAAAAGGGTAATAAACATATACACCTCTTTCTGGTTGAAAAAAACTAGGTATGAGGCCTCATGTCTGCTAATTGAGCGGAGTGAGCCTAGATATAAACAAATAAAAAAGTAAGTAAAAATAATATTCTGACTTTCCTAAGTCCACCACAGCCTGACGATCCATCTATAGTACATTCTTGACAGTAATGGACCAAAATCGACAGACAATATTTATTGGATATTGCCTTTGAGAACATTTTACATCATACTGGGGGATCATACTGGGAGGCAAAAATAACAACCTGTTTTACAATGTGGGTCCAATTTATATAAAAAAAAAAATGTGTGGGTCAAATTGTACTAATATGCAAATTTGGAAATCTTCTAGATAATTTTCTGTTTCGGTAAATTTGTATATGAAGCTACCGTACCTATGCTACCATTACATATGCCTGTTAGTAGTAGTCCAAATATTACTTTGAAGTATCACACGATAACCTTTTAAAATGAAGATGTGTTTGTTAAGGCCTTGGCATATACATTACATCATAGTCGAGTAAATCTGTACGAGAACCCTAAAAAAATTGCTTTAAATTGTTTTATTGTCTAATGACATCGGAGTCTCGGAAGTCCAAAATTCAAGATGGCGTCCAATATTTTGGTCAAATCAATCAATCAATCAATCAATCAATCAATCTTTATTTGCCATAAGGATACATTTACATATCATTGACAAAGTCTATTTGCAGTTTTCAAACCAAGTCTTAAAATAAACAACAAAATACTCTTACAGGCCAAATATTACAATTAACTTTCAACTCCATTCACATTCTTAACTGAAATTAAAACCAAACTAAAGGACAATTTCTCCCAGTTTAAAATAATCATCCAGACTATAAAAAGGGTTCTGAAGTAGATAATTATAAAACATAGCCTTAAATTTGTTAATTGAATGAAAATTTATATTATTTTTTACTGAATTATACACTTTAATTTATAAAATTATGTGGCAATTACTAGTTTTACTAAGACGATGGGATTCTAACAGTGCAGTATTTTTAAAACGAGTGTTGTGACTGTGATTATTAAATTGAAGATATTCAGGGTTTTTTAATATATAAACAATCAGATCATAAATGAACAAATTTACTGCAGTTTGAATTTGCAGATCTATAAAAAGAGGTTTGAAATGATCAGGGGTGTCCCTGTCATAGCTCTTAAAGCCCTCTTTTGGAGAATCAAAATTTCTTTTATTCTACCACTACCACCCCAAAGCACCAATCCGTATCTCATGATTGACTGGAAGTACGCAAAATAGGCCGTCCTTACATATTTCTTAGGAACCTGATCTACCAGACGATCTAAGAGATGCACCACACGAGACAATCTTGAAGATAAATAATCTATGTGAGCATTCCATGTGAGTTGATTATCAATTTGAAGGCCCAAAAATTTTACAGCTGTGCTTTTATTTAGATCACTCATAGTGGGGATTTGTTTTAGTGTAAAAATCATGTTTTGGGTTTTTTCTTCATCAAGCAAAAATCCATTCGCATTAAACCAATTTGATGCTTTTAGCTTTGTTTCAAGGACAAGATTTTTTAGTTCTGTTAGGTTGGGGTTTACATGAAGAAATGTTGTATCGTCAGCATAAAGAATAGTTTGACTCTTTACTGCCAATGGAAGGTCATTAAAATAAATTAAATATAAAAGTGGACCAAGGACTGAGCCTTGGGGAACGCCCCATTTTACATTCTTTTCTTGAGACGTATTGCCATTAATACTTACTATTTGTTTACGATTGTTTAGGTAAGATGAAAAGAATTGTAGAGATGGCCCTCGAAACCCATAATTTTGTAATTTGTTTATAAGAATTTTAAAATCAACACAATCAAACGCCTTGCTCAGGTCACAAAAAGTGCCCTGAGCAAATAACCTATTTTCAAATGCCCCATGAATCTGACGAATTAGATTATCAAGAGCATCAATAGTGGACATTCCCTTTCTAAATCCAAATTGGGATACATTAAACAAGTTGTTCTCCTCAAAATACTCATTAACCTGTTCAAAGACCAAGATTTCAATTAATTTACCAATTACCGGAATTACTGAGATAGGACGATAACTTTGGGGTTTATCTCTTGGACCCTTCTTATAGACTGGACAAACACGTGAGACCTTCAACAAGTCTGGGAATACTCCAGCTTCTAACAATGAGTTTATACAATTAGCAAGAGGTACATGTAAACTATAAATAATATTTTTCAGTAAATTATTTGACATTCCATAAACATCATCACTTTTTGAGTTTTTCATTTTTTGAACTGCATTGATAACATTTAAAGGCGTTACAATTTTCCAACTAAATAAAAATGTGTCCTAAATAAATGTGTCCGTTAGCACAATAACTCAAGCAAAAATGATCCGATTTCGATGAAATTTGGTACAAACGTGTAAACCTACATTTATTTGAACGAGTTCGCGAACCAGCATGATCGGACCAGGGGAACAGGGGTTTATGGGCGGTTTTATGGGGTAAAAATTGGTTTTCCCCATTTTTGACCCTAAAAACATAAAATTTTGCAATTTATTTCGAAACCATTTTAGCGCTTAAGAAAACAAACAATTTAGTACATTGAAGCGTTACATGCGCCTAATAGTTACGGAGAAAATTCCAAAAAATTGTAAATTTAAAATGCCAATGTTATTTTTATGGAGAATAAGAAAACTTGTTGTAGTTAGCCTGTTTATGAATATATTTTTATTAAATCTGGAAAATGCATTTGTTTCATACTAAACTATTTAACATTTTACTAAAAACACTTTTTTACCCTCCCTGTCGTAGCAAACCTAAGCACTAGTTAAACTAGTGCTATTTAATTAGGGAATAAATGTGATACTTTCAATGTGATATTTTAGTGTAAATTCAATCAGGCAAATGGAAATTTGCTTAGTGTGCAGGTTTTCTGCGGCGGGGATATTTTAATTTATGAGTATTTTTTTCTTGAACAATCCATTAATAGGTCTTAAAATAAAGATAACAAGCTAAAATCCAACATACATATTTTATTTACTTAAATCTATAAATTCTTTAATTTTTTTAAGATATTAATACTCATAAAGTTAACATGGGAAATTCCAGAGCCACTGGGGTGAAGCCCGAAAGAATTTTTTAGATAAGAATAGGCTTGTATATTAATTGGGAATCTGGGAATCATAAAGCCACATTTCAGCCCAATCCAACCAGTTAATGCGTTTTTGAACTTCAAACAAACCCAATCCAACCAGTAGTTAATGCGTGATTGAACTTCAAACAAACCCAATCCAACCAGTAGTTAATGCGTTTTTGAACTTCAGACAAACAAACTTTCACATTTTTAATATAAGTATGATTCACACTTTCTTGTGGTTAGTAGTAGAGCATTGTAAAAATAATAATCCATCATTCTCATCAAGTTCTACACCGTTATGATCACTTTACAAATTGTCACATTGTTCCCCAAGCTGGTAAAGTCCACAAGCTGTAATACAAGGGGTAACCCATACTTTGTTGCAGGAGCGTTGCAAATTCTTGCAGCCAGTAGAGTAGTTGCAGTGAACAATAATTCTTAAAAGAATCTCTGGAGCGGAGGTCATCAAGTTGTTTTTATTGTTTGTTTTTTTTTTCAGCAAAGCATCTCAACATTATTTTCTTTACATTTATTGAAAAAGAAACTCTTCTTGGAAGACAAGAAGAGACTTTACGGAAAAAATAATGAGGTTTATTATTTTTTTTTTATTTCTGGACGTACTATTGAAAAACTCCGATTTCCGAGACTCCGATTTTTATTAAACTTTTACTTTTAGTATATTATTTCACATACTTATTGGTAATGTAAACCATCAAAAACTCTTTTAAAACAATGTTTTTAAGGTTAATGGGTTTTATTTCATATCTTGACTAGACTATCATCATGAATAAATCAAATACATTCATAATAAACTACAACAAAATTATTAAAACCAATATAAAACATACTTCTGTACTAGGCTACGCCATTTAATTTGAGTTGTTGAGCCTGAACTGTGTTAGTGTAAAACCTATTAGATTGGATTGTAAATTACTATGTTACAATTACAATGTTAAATTACAATGTTAGTAAATTAATAACCTGACATAAAAATGTCAACATTTTGTTCTGTTGGCTGTACCAATTCTTCTAATCACGTGAAAGTAGAAGGAATATCATATCAGAGGGGTAAGCTTAGTTATGACTGGACTAACAGTACGTACAGGCCAAGCAGTCAAGTCTAATATGCCTATGTATAGTTATCAAAACTGTTCTTCTATACAGGCCTAGGTAATCACTGTAAAAGTATGGAGACCCCCTGTTATTTTTTTAACAGCCCATACTAGAAAAACTAAAACTAGGCACACCTTTATGACATGTTATGAAGTACTTTTTGGGCATAACCGTCACTTGGTGTACATCCCCAAAATGGGGGATTTTGGGGGAAACTCAAAAATTTCAAATACAAAGACCCTTTGAGTGACCCCTCATTTTGAAGGTCCTGGTAAAAGAAAACCAACAACACAAACTAAAGGTCTTTATCTCAATCCAGTAAAAAATGGCAGCCAATTGAAATTCTCAGAAGTTAAATTTAACTTTACAGTTTTCCAAGTCTGGAGACCCCCTGTAAATTTTGTAGCGGCTCACACTAGGAAAACTAAACTCTACACACCTTTTTGGCATGTTATGAAGTACTTTTTAAGCCTAATATCCACTTGCTTACCAAACCCAAAATGGGGGATTTTGGGGAAACTCAAATGTTTTAAATGATAAGCCCAATCGAGTGACCCTTCATTTTGAAGGTCCTGATAAAAGAAAACTAACAACGCAAACTAGAGGTTTCTATCTCAATCCAGTAAAAAATGGAAGCTGATTGAAATGTTTAGAAATCGGATATAACTTT